TTGTTATTTTAACATTCCACCTGTGGCCTCAAGTACATCATTTTAATAGAATAGTTTTAATTGCAGGGTGTGTCTATCATCACAACAGAAATATTGTCAAACATTATAAGTGTGTCGTAGACATTGCTTCTGCTTTATAATGGGTGTGTTTATTCGTGCAGCCAGTATGCATTCAGGCAGGGTAAGAAAATGCATTAGTGCACCCTGAGCTATAGTATTTATTCATGTGACATGTCACAGTAGACAAAGCACAGGTGTAAATTATAAAATGAATGATGGCTGAATTCCATTTAGCTGCTTCAGGGTCCCCGGTATCGTGCACACTGCCTCGCTATCACACTGTATTGGCTGACTGTGACACTTGGATATAACATCCGTCGTTAATTTTGACAATTTAAAACGTCTGCTGTAAAAAAAAAAGTTCAGTTATCTCTAATTCAAAGCATTAAAATGTTCCTCATCACGATAATAAAAATATAATCACATGTTGGTTTACTGGAAGTGCTTTGTATGAAAAGCTGTTGATGATACTGCAGGTTTGTAATTGCCGCCATAAGAATCTGATAGATGACCCACTTAGGAAGTTTTTGTTAGTTTTAGATCAGAAATTTTGTGTTTCCACCTAAAAAACCTTCACAAATAAGAGACTTGCAACCAGTACATTCTTTTTATCAATCCTCGTTTAAGTCATAAATTAGGAAAAGTGTTCTCACATGGTCGCATTATAACTGCAGATCGTTTTAGTCACCAAATGACAAATTGAATGAACCAGATACAGAAATAAACTCTGCAACAGTATAATACATTTCATCAACACCGTACTAATTTCCACTTGACAGCTCAGGAAATGTGTTGAGCTGTAAATATGATGCTCATTTCTGACTGCAGTTATGAAGACTCAGGTCTGAGCTCACAGCAGTAATAATAAATTGTTCTTCTTTGCAACTTGGGGGGAGCGGAACAAACTCTAAATACAATGTTGACATTTAATCACCCCGTTAAGTCCTCATGGTGAACGTGTTAGTAAAATGAACACATCCAGCCACTCAAGTTCAATATGCATGCTTCTTTAAGTAACGTTTTGGTGTCCTTCAACTTCTATGCTGCTTTAATCTCCGACATTTTCCCCAGCTACTCTCTTACTTTGTGCCTGCTGTTTGAGCAGGTTGTGTTCAGTGGGATTATCAGAGCTTTTTCACTGGAAACACCTGCCTGCTGTTTCTGGAAACATATTAGATTAACACCACTCAGTAGTGCGCATACAAACAGTCTCCTCACGAAACCACATTTAAACTCCCTAGATTCAGATTTACATTTTGTCCTGCACCAAATTACACACACTTATAATTATCAGTCGACTTAACATGGCAGATTTTTCATCAAGATCAATGAATTGACAAAATTGTTGAAGAAAATAAAAAAAATAGCTTGCAATGTTAGAGAAAGTGATAAAAATAATCTGGATCCACCTCCTGCCATCAAGTTTTGTGGTAATCCTGCTTGCAAACAAATTGACAGGGGTGAAACCATAACCACCTTGGTGGAATTAATGTTTTTTTTAAGCAATATTTCGGACAATACCTAGATAATCTGATGTGACTGTGGTAAAAACATAGTGATGAGTTTTTAAGGTGCTACAAACCAAACAATAACTGTCACACTCATTTATTAAATGCATGCCAAGTTTCCGTGTCTAAATTATGAATCTTTTAGTAAAAGTAGGTATTTAGGGGAGATTTTATCTAACTGCTATGACATGCTCATCAAACTGTCATGGCAGAGAAGGTGAAAAATCTCATTTATTCCCTGCTGCGAGCGCTGATGTGGTCTCTAATCCTGCTGCCACAGAGGTCATGAGTGAGCTGTCCCTTCTCTCTGCATCCCTTTCTGTCACTCCCTTTTTCTCTGTCCCTTTCTCTCCCTCTCTCTCTATCTCTCAGCCTCCTTTTGTTTGGCAAGGACTTGACCAAACAAAACCGAGCTGGGTATCTCTAAAGCAAGGTGACTGCCAAAGGTGATTTTTCACCCTGACTGCCAGGACACAATGAGTTTTAGATGGACAGGCCAAATTCTCCTCCCTCCAACTGGCAGTTGTGGATGAAAATAGCACTGGCCTCTTGCACTGAGATTTGTCACCCATATCATTATCTGCTCTCGTATCCCTGCACCCTTAAATGTATTGCCCTGAAAATGAGGTTATAATGGACTTAATGTTGGTGTTTGTGTTTCAGGGCCTCACTTTCTCTGGTTCATTTGTTTTATTTAAGAACTACACTTGGAATGGATGCACCCTTTTGGCTCCAAATGGCAGAATGAAATAACTCTTAAAGTGCTATTTAGTCTTAAATACCCTTAAAACATGGAACATAGCATCGGGCCAATTGGAATCCTCTGGTAAATTACACACTGGCAAAGCTGCTGAACATATGTTGTGTGCTCACTGACATTACATTCACTAGTCGGTTGTAATTTAATGTTTAAATATATTGTAATTTTCACCGGTCTCTTGCATGGACAGAGGAGAAGTGTCTACAAGTGGCACGGACAGAACAAAAACTATCGAGCCTCGTAATGTGATTTAATCAGTTGTGGTGTTGGAGGACAAAGTGCAGCTCTGGATTTGAAATCTACTGACTGTGGAATTGCCCTCTTTCACTTTGACACTAACGTAAAATGAAACGATTCTCAGCAGAGACTTCAGCTATTGATCAAGGTCAGGGGCGAGCTCTATTATGCCTGAACTCAGACAGATGTTAACTTCTAACCGAACTTAACAGCCTTGATGTCGGCCGGAGACGGGCAGAGCGGATGACAGAGGGCTGGGAGGGGATAGGAGAGAAATGCAAATGATTCCCCGGATAAGTTAATGTGCCTTTGCCGTGGCAACAGACTCTAAATGCACTGGGGAGGTAAGGTTTCTTTGAGTCGGCCAGAGATATCATTAATCCAAAGCTGACCTGGCCTGCCTTCAGCGAGGCCCTGCCCACAGAAGTTTATTATCCAAGAGGAGGCTGTCCAGGCAGCAGCGAGGCCGAGGAGAGACCATGTGCTTTTCCAAAATGACCGAGCGGCATTTCCTTTTAAGTATTCCTGAAGACAAATTGGCTTGGATCAGCAGTTAGGCAGCTGGCTGATGAAGAGGTGAGATGTATAAGGCCCACGTGGGCATTTTCATCATGAAGGCTTTTCTTTTCTTTTTTTTTTTCCTGCTGCGGCACGTCACCTGCTGCAGTGTGTCATTGTGTCCTAGTCGCTCTCACGCTCTATCACTCACCCACACACACTCTCTCTCACACACACACACACACTCACACACACACAGCACAGCACACTAACCATTCAGTACAGTGCAATAGATTTGCACTAATCCTCACTTCAGACATGTACAGCACAGTTTTGTTTGTGGATTACTCGTCTCTGGCAAAAGTGAGAGATCAGCACACAGGGGAGTCTTAAGAGTTTAAATAAGAACAATGCTTTTGTACTTTAGTCATGCAGAACAAAGGGAGCGGGCAGAGAACAGTTGGTCCACTTTCATATCTGTTAACTGGTTAAGATACAGTGCACAAGCAAGACACTGCATTCAAAGAATATTCATATTTAATGGCTTTGTTCTGTCTAGGAAAGCTCAGTATGTCAAAGTCGGACTTTAACTTTAATACCTGGAATATTTCACATTTTGGTTACATGCATGTCTACATTGGTTTGACTTGTGACTGTGCAGAGATTGGTGGGTTTAAAAATCCCTGAATTAAACAACAATTGTTGAAATGCAACAACCCTTCGAGAGTTTAAACTCAGTGTTTATAAAATATTGAGGATCTGAACACTTGGTGGGTATTTATACGAGAAGCTCAGGCACTGTTGAATGTTTGCTGTTGTTGAGATATTTAGTTTAACGGCAGATTATTGTATTACCACAGAAATAACGTATGGAAAATTGAAATGTCAATTTAGAATTAGGTTGATACATGAAACATGATAACATGATGTGGGTTGGGCTGCATGTTGTTGCAATTCTGTTCTATACAATTTTTTGCATTATAGGCCGAACAATTTTTGATCACTCAAGCATTTAATCAGTCCTTATTCTTGTCTCATCAGCCATTTCTACTTTCAGCCTTTCATGGGTTTTTCATTCTGAAAAAAAATGCCTTTGTCAAATATTTGCATCATTATTTTGGTATAGAAAGAGTCTTTTAAATGTAAAGTATGGATGAATACTGACAGTGTCTTCAATTTGTCTTACATCCTTTTGTCTCTTTTTCTGTCCTTAAATATTAAGAACTGCATTATCTCCAATTAATTGCCCAATTAAAATAGTGGAATTGCTTGTATGTGTTCTCATTCCTCTCTACTGCATTTACATGCCTTGCCTCCCTTATCAAGCACTCAAACTCAGAACCATCATATCAATATATCTTATCAATCAATATTTAATGTGATGCACCACATTAAATTGATTTGCTGTCATTTGACATAAGGTAAAAATCTACATAGATTATACAGAGATCACTGAGATGAGTAAAGGTTATAAAAAAAGAGCTCTTGTGTGAGGCTGCTGGTGAAAGAGTCATTTGGGAAGATAATAGAGAATGTATGTCATATGCTATCTTACCAGTTAAATAGGAAATATATATTATATTTAAAAATGATAAACGGTATTAATTTGGTGAAGTTCCCTCTTGTGATGACAAGATTGATAACTTTTAAGTACTTACAGAAATGTTAGACATGAACTTAGTCATCAATTACAGTTGGCTGTACTGTAATGGAATAATTCATATCACTATTACATGATGCATAGCAGAGGATGACATGTCATGAATACTTGCTAAAGAGTGTCATCCTCTCATTCTACAGTGAGCTATGTGGAGTGAGGTGGGTTTGTACAGACCACAGAATGGAAGAGAAGAGAAGTTGAGTGCAGGACGATGAAAACATTCCCTCCATGAAATGATTGTAATCCTCTGCTCTTGTGTTTCTGTGTCTTTTTGCAGGTTTGGCAGTTCACCAGATAATCACAATCACTGTGTCTCTCATTATGGTTATCGCAGCCTTGATCACAACACTCGTCCTTAAAAACTGGTAGGAAAGATTCCTTTACTTTTTTCACTCATCAACACATCATACCTTTACACGCTCGCTGTCACAAATCCTTACAGACAGCCAAAGGTACAAGGTATGATTTTATGTTTGCTTCTTGTCTTTGGTGCGTGTTTTTGTAGCTGTGCACAGTCGGGAAATGGTCGCCACAATAGCCATCAGCGCAAGATCCACCAGCAGGAGGAGAGTTGCCAAAATCTGACAGACTTCACACCGGCCCGGGTGCCCAGCAAGGTGGACATATTCACTGCCTACAATGACAGCCTGCAGTGCTCACATGAGTGCGTTCGGACTGCCGTGCCCATCTACACTGATGAGATGATTCAGCAGACGCCTGTCTACAAGAGTGCATACAACGGAAACAGGTATGCTGGCCCAGGAACATCTGTGGCACTAAAGGTGCTGAGTACCAAGCGCACGAGTTTCTACCAAACCGATAATTGTAAAACTGTACTGGTGCCTAAACATGCCAGAAAAGAAAAGAAAAAACAGAATAGGACAGTTGATGATTACAGCTCCTTTTTTTAATCAGGCAAATTGGAAATTGAAATTTAAGTATAGTTTTCTTAAATATGAAAAATATAAATAAAATATTAAAATAAAATATAAATAAAACATGAACCAACTACCACAATTTGACAGCTTCAGTGTTTAAAGGCCACACAAACGCAAACACGGAGCATCCCTCTGATTTCAAATGTATCTGTGTTGACAGATGCTTCATACAAGTTTGCGGCAGCTACTAGCTAACAGTAGCTTAACGTAACGGGCTGCCAGAGCCATGTAGAGTGTGTGTTGTCACCAGAGTTAAATGTAATGTTAACTGGACACGTGCTGTAATGGTACTGCCATACAAGCCAGTAGATTTTAATTTCTTTTATTGTATTTTGTGAAGCACTTTGTAACCTTCTTTAGATGCTATATAAATAAAGTTATTATTATTATAATGTTTAAGTTGCCTGTTAGAAGGGCAGCTATTTCAGTACAGAGCTCGGGCACCAAAATCTGTTGAATCCTTTAACCATGCTGTCCTCCATTACATTCAAAATCATAACTGTTATTATCCAGTGAGTCTCAATCTACACATAAAAATCAAACGTTGGTTGTTGTGTAATGGGCCAGTTTATAGATGGAAGCCAATGGGATGTGAAGTCTCTATGGTGTCATTTTCTAAATAATCTTGCTGACAGCCTTTCATAAAGAAAATTGGCGCAGTGTATACACGTTATATATATTTATATATGTATATGGAAATCTGAACTTCAAAACACCTCCCTTCACTCTGAGTTTAAATTGTTCTGTCTGAGGGTGAAGACGCGTCGCTCTTAGTCTTTCAAACTGTCAAGGCAGGTGTGTTTGGCATAATGATCTGGGGTTGTGGGTTTAAACCATCATTATATTTGCTCTGTGCTTTTGTACTCCTTAAAGTGTTTATTGTGTGAGGGGATAACAGTGGCAGACATCTAAGCTGCTGGGCCAGCATGGTCACACTTACTCTTTGTATCCAAACCCTTTAACACATTCATTACACTGGCAGTAAATAGCTGGAAATAGACCAGAGTGTCTGGTTTGTTAGTTTAAAGTCGTGGAAGGATGGAAGGACCTCCTCAAAGAAGTGATTAGCTCTGTGTGTTTCTCTGTGACCAATGGTACAGTGTCGACTGTGGCAGTAAAAGCTAACCAGGGAGTTTATAAGGCCTAAGCTTAATGTAATAAGATCAAACTGCATCATGTTCATCAAAGTCTATCTATCTTCTCGCACATTAACCCTACAGGCCCTCCCCCACCGAACGTCAGCTGATTCCTGTGGCCTTCGTGTCGGAGAAATGGTTCGAGATCTCCTGTTGACGAGCCGAAAGGCCTTGTTCTTTTCGTGTGGGCGGAAGAGACTCCCTGAAAGCACGCTCTGGTGGGTACTGTGCCACTCTGTCCCCCCTTGCAGACCATCATATGAGCAGTGGCCACCTCGATCCCCGTGGTGATGCTGCCCCACTTTGGGAATAGAAGGGAACTTGGCATATGTTTGTTATTTGTGACTTGATTATGGCCTCCTCCCATTCTCTGTGCAGTGATGAAGAAATCCTGTTCACTGCAGGATCAGCAGGCTATAATTAAGATAAGAGACTAATTATGTGTACATCAGTATTAATAAACTGCATAATCACAGTTAAGGATTTCACTCCGCATCGTTGAAACATTTCCATTAATATTTATTTTGCCACTCTCTCTTAGCACGAGCATATTGATTTGAACATTTCAAGGAGTAAAGGAGCGTTTTCACTTGACTTGTGACACATTTTTATGCACGGCTAATGTATGCCTGAACAGACTGCATTTGAAATTCAAAGTGTGAAAGTTAAGCACATGCTCCGGCCCCACAGTGTTGCTGGAAGCCCGGAGGGAGGCGTAACGTCTGCTATTGACCCAGATTTTAAAAGGAATAGATTGCCTGCAGGTAGCGTACTGGGAGGACAGCGTCTCTCCATTGTCTGGACACACATTAGTCTCAGTCAGCGCTGCTCTCCACTGCACGCTCAGTGCTGCTGTCTTAAAAGACATAAGATTCTTTATTATCTCACCAGACCTAATGTATTTCTACAGCAGACCTTAAAACAGTGCACTCTCAACACAGCCTCGTCGTTTCAAGAAAGACATGGGGCTGCATGTTTTTTTGGCCTGATCTGGATACCAGTCCCCCCCCTTAAATCAGTGCAAAAGTAGGTTAGCTTTGAAAATCCTGTCTGTGTTGCAGAGTTGTCTCTTTGAGCCGGGCCCACAATGAGGGATAATTGTGTTTTTGTTCTTTGCATCTCCACAGGATCCAGCTGGAAATGAGAAACACAACAACAGCTTCTTTTGTAAAGTAGTGTAATCACTCTTTGGACACTGGTGAAGATATTTATTTTTCTAGAGATGACAAGCGGAGCAGCTACAAAGCTGCCTCTCCATATTTCCAGGAACGTGCAGTCATTTAGATATAAATTACATGTAGGTATATTTACAGGACATTTGGGACGAGACTGTGGTCTTCACAGATGTCTCAAGAAAAAAAAAAAACACTGGACATTTGGAAAAGGAACTTAAGGAGCTGCTGCGGCTGGAAGACAGTATTTATGAACAATGTGCCAATAATGCCACTATGTGCCACAACCTGGATAGACGGACATTTCAACAACTGAAGGACTAAACAAAGAACGCTATATTAACCCTGTAATGACTCCAACTGCATTGTTTTCTTTTTTGTTTGGTCCCTTTTTTTAAACAGATGTGACAGTTTAAAAAAAATGCTTCAAGATGTATTTGAATTTGTTTTGAGATAGTTTTAAGAATTGTGTTGCAAAAGAGTCTTAAAGATATTTATACAAAGCACTATTCTATTAGTTGGAGGGAAGAGAGAAGGTGGAAAAAACAGAAACGGTATATGCTTTATCTAACAGTTGATTTTCAAACATCGTTTCTACAGGTCCCATTTTAGGAACAAAAATTGTTATGTCTATTTTTTTACACAGTAGAGTCTGCCACAGCCCTAACAGTGGAGGTCTGAAGCACTTGGTACTCCACACTGTTAATTAAATAACCCCCCCACCTACCCATTCACCCCCACAGCTTAGATTATAACAAAAAAAATCATCTGAATACACCTGGTGCGAAAACAACGTCTGCTCCAACCGCTCATTGTGTACGCTCCAAACCTGATTTGGGTTTTATAGAAAAACACACAAAAGCTTTCTGTGGCGCAGGCTCATAGCTTCAATGAATCCCAATGCAGCACATTCATGTACAGGATGAGTAAGGACACGGCCGCAAAACACACTGCACGGAGCTGGACAGGACACACATACTGCCTCAGGTCTGTCTAGCTCTTTTGCACCGTATGTGTTGGTCTTAGCCTCGGCAGCTGTTTGGGATGAATTCTAATGACTTTTTATGATTCATATCTGAGCTGCGACGCTAAAAAAGGGCGGAATAGATTCAATTTGAGCTCCACATTCATGTGATAATTTGCATAAATAGGAAAGAGATTGAAAAAACTAATCCCTTCACAGATAGTACATTAATATCTCTCCTCCCAACTTCCAGATTAGTTCAAATTATTTTTGAAACCTCAAAGTCTGATTTACGGTGAGAAAGTCATAAAGAACATGAACCAATTTGTCGAAGATGGAGCATAAAATTATCTCCAGTTTTTCAGCTGATGCCGAAGAGAAGGAAGCTGTGACAGAGGTGCTGCAGAAAGGGGCTCCCATCTGGATTTAAAGGGATCTGCATCAAGTGTTTTAAACACAGGCTGCAGGCAGGAAGGAATTCCCTCACTGAGTGTGTAGTTAAAGGTTAGTGAGCTCTATTCTGAGCCCAGATCCTCTCAATAATTGAGGACAACATTTCTAGCATATCAGAATTTCTGCTAACACAGCCAGTGCACAAATTAGTGCGCAAGGGAGCAGAGGGAAAGTACAAAAATTAAAAACAACTCTGTCAGTGCATCATGGAAGCACGAGGATTATGACGAGCCCGTCAGCCGCTGCCAAATTGGTTAAAACTATCTCTTAAGTCAAGGTGAGGGGACTCCGTGGTCAGGAAGGGACAGTAACGTTCTCCTGAGAGTTTTCTTGCTCCAGTAATTTTATTATCAATCTCCGAAAGACACATTACCTTTATGCTATGAAGCTTTTGAGGAAGCCGCCTCTCAATCTACCTTCTATTGTGCTGTGGGTTTGTACAAAGCACAATTCTGTAATTGTAAATGTTTCTTGGTTGCAGACAGCAATATGTACAGATGAAGCAGGTGGGATTTATCAATGTGGAGCTCCAGGAATTGGCGTTGGTGGCGTTTTAAGGCAGGTTTTCGGTTCCTTGAAGGATTTGAGTATAACGGGCCTTCCCAGTGAGGTCAGCAGCCGTAAATGTGAGCCAATCAGGAGGTGCCGAGACGGCCTGGGACAAACACTGTGGTGCAAAAACTCCTGATTTTGCCCATTCACAACATGACAGCCACACCTATGAATGACCCATACCAGTTCAGCCTCGCGCGTGTCAGGCTACGGAGTTGCTTCTTTGACATAACATATATTTTTCTGAATGAAGAGTGTTATATCACTTAGTCAGAGGGTTACAAAAACTTACTGTATATTATAACACGTGTAAATGTATTTTCTATATATTTGCTTCTATTTGTGTACAGGTGTGTTCTATTTTTCAAGACCCCACCCGTTTTTGGGGAGGTCTCAGCTAGGTCGGGGATAGTGTCTTTGTTTACATGTGTAACTACAGTAATTTCTTTCAAAACACAAAAACTAACCTTGTGCCAAGCTTCCTACCTGCACTTTCAAGCAGTACTTGTATTATATCTTTAGCTAATCAGTATAATACTTCAGTAGACGCTGCAATAGAGACTGGGGAGTGATTTCCAGGTGGTACGTGTGAAAGGCACAGTGCTGCTTGGTTCTAAGGCGTGTTGTTATCATATCTCAAGCTGTGCTGTATTTACGGTTGGCTGGGAAACCAATGACTTGCTGTTCTTGAAATTCATCTCGACATTAATTCTAATATACAGCGCTCCATCCCACAAATGAAAAAAAAAAAAAACAGTGTGAATCCAGTAGCTGCCAAGAAACCGACGAAAGTTGATCAATACTGGGTTGTATTAATTTGTCATATTTATCATTTTGCTACAACTGCCCCACACAATGTATGATATTTCATTCATACTTTACTGTAATGACTGTGAAGACTAATATTAGCATTTATGAGCATATGAAATAATCAGGGCGAGGCGGCTACATGGGGAATTGTGTAAGGAGGGCGGTGTGTGAATTACTCTTTGTCTGCATTTTCATTTTTAATGCAACAGATATATTGACCTATTTCAGAAATGCCAAGATCAGATAAAATGCATTGATGTGGAAACCCATTCAACAAAGGATGTAAAGGATGATTCTGGCTTATTATGACTTTGGCCTTATTGTTTACCATGTGAGCATCTGTAGGCTGCGCTGGTCTTTTTTAGATGTTTAATCCACCACTGTGGTGCAGACTGAAATATCTCCATTATTATTAGCAAACCCCCTGAAAATGAAGTCTGGCAGGGTAAAAATAAAAGCACACAACTGTGATGAGTCAAACTTAATCCTTTAAAGTGTGATGGATGTATACAACAGATACTTTGTGTAAGGATTTTACTGTTTGCCCTCATTTTCTCTGCTCATGTTATTTTTTGCCTCGTCAGACTTTGGTCTCAGCAATTAACTCGGTGAGATCAATTTTATCATTAATGAAAGGAATGGCATTTAGTGCTAAGTGTTAAAACAAGACCCAAGTTGCACTAAACCAGAATTATCCTTTGAAGCTTTCAGAGTGAAGACTGAGAGATCTGTTCTCCCTATCATGAAGTACAGTCGTTCCCTGTTTCACCTGAACTCTCAGAAAAATCAAGGAGGTACCTGTGGTTTCTGCACTAATAACACTGTACCCAATAATTGTAAAATATAAATGTTACCCAATTGAAAATCATTGAGGTTTGATACCAAGCTTATGATGATTGTGTGAGACTGAGTTCTGATTCTTTGAAACTTACAAAATCATATGATTGAAGCTTTTGTTTGAATTTCATTCTGTGTCTCATACTGTGGGGTTTCAAGGGTTTTACTTCAGTTTGCCTTGTTTGCATTGTTAGCATTTCTCATTAAGGTGGACATGCCTTTAGTGAGCAGCTCTCGATTCACCTCACATTCCTGAAGGACATTCAGACAAGGAAAAATGTAATTTGCAGCTTATAAATTTATTCGGAGACATCGGCATACATCAGCCTTTTCCCTTTTTCCCTTTGTCTGAAATCAAACTGATATGTAAGGAAATGCCTTACTGCTCTCTTGCCTTTTCAGTTCATATTTCTGGATGGCTGATGAGTGTGGTGCATTATATAGCTAAGAGGGAGGAAAATGATTCCACTCGGCTGGTCAGATTTGATTCAGGAAATATTATGTGAGAGCAGCGCAGGAGGAGAAGGCAGCAAGACGGGGGGGGGGGCTCGTAGGGAAGTCTTAAACAGACACCAAAGACTTGATATGCCTTTTTCACAACATATGAATATTTCGCGGCTGCCATTTCTGTCTCTGCACCAACCCACTAAACCTATGCTCCCTTCAGCACAAACAAGCTATCAATCAGCGAGGCTTTTCCTGTCAAGATGAAGGATGCGCTGCGCACTCGTTTGCAGAGGCTGTGATTCCTGTTGGCATGTCAGACATACAGAGTGGAACTTATTGACATATGTGTTGTTTGGATTAGATGCTGACTGAACATCTCCAAGGCAGAGGTTTGTTTTTAGTTTTTTTTCCTCCATATCACCGGAAGCGTTCGCATGAGGGGAGAGGAATCAGTGTATCGACCCTGTTTAAACATGGCCTACAGGCGCCTGATTAACCTAGAAACACGTCTCACAGCTGGCACCATTGGTTACATAGTGAAAATATTCATATAAGTCTAAACTGCAGGTTGCTCAAACAACAAGGCAAGACTCAGCAGGAAGAATAAAATATTAGATGTGACCATGAAAGGTTAAACTCAGAGGAAATGACAAAGTTTATCTTCCTAGACTGATGTGTATCTTACTTAATCCATCTTTTAGGCAGAAAAAAAACTGTAGCTCCTCACTCTGCTTCTCTCATCATTTCAGATAAATCACATACTGTGCGCTTACTGTATCTAAAGCAGAGGGCTCGACTCTCCTCTGGGGTCATGTTTTTACTTTTCTATTCACAAGAGGTAAGGCGCTGTCGCTGTCCGTGCTTATCAATATGTCAAAAAACTTGAAAAAGGGAAAAACAACACTTGGTTTGCGGCATTTCAATTCTCCCATAAACCCTCTTGCTAGATGGTGACTAGCTTTGCCAAATCTGCTGTGGCAGCATTCAATCTGCGTAGAGGACCTCCGATGCTGAGCGATTCCTCCAGGACAAAGATATGAGTAACACTGCGCGGAGATTTGGGATAACATGGAAAATATCAATTTATGGCGGGTCGCTCTTTAAAAGTTAATCAAGATTAAAATGACCGGAGGTGTAAAAAAACACATTCACTTTACATTACAGGAAGTGTTATAGATTTTTTTCCCTTTGTTTTGAGGGGAGGGCGTTTCACATGTGAACACATTGATTTGTTCATTGAAATTGACTTACAATCACAATTCATACCAACCATGAAGGAACTGACTCGAGTTGTGTTGTCGCCATAAAAATGAAGAGTTTGTACTTTGTGACTCTTAAACTTTTTATATTTGTGTTTAATATATCAATGAGTACCTCTGTTAACTTTTGTATAAGACCTATGATTATAGTATATACAAACACTTACACGCACCCACATACACATACACACACCTCCACGAAAAGGACTCCAGTCTGTCTCTGTGACGGCTAAATGTTGTATAACTTTTATTTTGTGTCTTATGAACCACATCTCTTCCTTTTGTAGTTATTGGTAAACGTTTCGATTTCCAGGTGACTTTGATTTGGTTACTCTTGTACTACTAAGCTCTGTATTTGCAAGCACTGTAAATGCGATTCTCATTGGATTCGTCCTCTGTACATTTAGTACTCTGATGTTGCTATTAATAAAATGTAAAACAACATGGGCTTGTGCTATAGGGAGTTTGTTGGACTGAGTTGCGGGGGGGGGGGGGGTGATCAGGGCAAACAGCACAAAATAAAAGATTTGAATATGAAATCAAGCTCTGTGTGTGTTTCTCATTTTTTAAGCTGCACTTCTTACACCAACTAAAACTCATATATATATATATGTATAAGTTTTTTTAATTAAAAAAAGTATGACCTTCAAATGGCTTAAATGTAACTTCCCACCTTTCATGAAGGGGATCATTAAATATAGTAATATTGCTTCTTCCCTCCCTGTCTCCACACCCCCAGAGCACCACCTGCAGACGTGAAAGTATTCTGCAAAACAACCTGAGCAAAATGTGTTTCCTCAAGTCATAAATAACCATATTAGAATTCGATTAATCTAATTACGAGTAAATGTCATGGTTCCCAATGTGTGGCTCAATAACGTAAAGCACACTATTAGTGGATTCATTTGTCTGTAATTTGTAATTGGCTTGGAGCATCACGTCACGGGTCTAATTCTGATCAGCCAGCGGTCACTGACAGTGGAACATCAGCACTTGTTTGAAACACTTGATATACATATGATGTTATTGTCAATATTTTTATATGGTCATTATGATCTGTTTATTGGCTCCATCGCTGAAAAAAGTCTGGCACCATGGTCCGTCTGGATAAAATGTTCCGAAATGAGCAGTGACATATTAGTAGAGAGCCGTAAGTGCTGCAAAAGCTATTTTTCTAGCTGATTAAAGTGTGAAAGGTCTCCTCAGCCAGCTTCTCTTCCTATCTAGAGCAGTCAACCATTAATAATAGCATTGATTAAAGCTTTGTGAGCACAACCCCTCCTTGTTTAGTATTCCCTTCACAATGGTTTTGCAGGCTGAGTGAAGAATCTGTGAAGGTAAATATGTTGCAAGATGTGGGAGCTTGTAGACTTAATGTGAGAACAAAAATCTGAGTGTGTATGCTTTATGTTTCACTTGTATAATACAATCAGCCGGATAACTCAACAAAACCAATGAGGGAGGTAGGGAGATTGGAACTTATATATTCATAAATGTTCATTCATTCATTCATCTATGTATTCATTATCTATACCGCCTATTCCTTTAGGGTGGTGCAGGGGTGAGAGGTGGGTTACACATTGGACTGGTCTCCAGCCTATGACAGGACCACTCACATTCACACCTTAGGTCAATTTAGAGTTTCCAATCAAACCAACTTCAATATGCATGTTTTTGGACTGTGGGTCTAAGACAGAGTAACCGGTGAAAACCCATGCAAACATGGGAAAAACATGCAAACTCTATACCAAACCAATTTGTACCAGGAACATTCTTGCTTAGTGGCAACAATGCTGCCGCTATCAACAAATCTGTAGATTGATATTGTAATACATACAGTAGCTGCAAACTTGTTATCTATCTTTTTTTTTTAAATCAGAAATCAGAAACTTAAAGTGCACTCATATTCTGACCTTTAAGGTAAATGCAAAAGGAAACACAGGGGCAAACAAACATGGACGGAGTCAGTTCCTCATACACACATTCACAGCTGATTATATTGATGAGTCAATAAATGTTAATTTCCCAAAGTAGCCAGTGAGTGTTTTTCCATTTAACAACCTTCTAACATTCCATGTAACCTTTCCATCTTCTGGTCAGATGCATATCCCTCGAATCTCTGAGTTGTCGTTTTATTTCTGTCTCGCCTTTTACTTTTCTCTCACTTAATGTTTTTAAGATCACCTGAAGATAAAGTTCTCCCCTCCTGTTTGACGAATAGGCACAGGCAGAATGAGTCCTCTTCCATGCTCCCTAAAGCCGGCTGCCTCCTCAGGGAGGCCTGCCAGGCCGCATTAGCATGAGGCCAGTTGGATCAGTCTGCACTGACTGTGACAAGCCTGGAGCCCCCTTCGCTCCTCATACATTAAATAGAATTATCTAGCCCTGCCTGAACAGACGGACCCGATCAATGGGGTGGGCAGCACATGCCAACAGCTGCAAGGGAGTTACCTCAGTGTGGTGAGATTAATTCACGCTGCAGACCTGGACCTTTCAAAGACTCTGCCACCACCAAGTCCAGACAGCGCAGTCAAAGTCAATTAGCTCCATGGTTGTATGGCGTGGAGTGGACCAGCTGAGACAAGTGCAGGCAGGGCTAAGACGACTACGAAACTATCCAATTCAAAGATCTGTTTCTCATGAAATTGCACAGCCATGATAAAGGTGATTGGCAGCCTCTATCCAGGTTTAGGAGATAACTAGTGTTAGTGCCTAGATTAATTACGATTATATAAACCCTGCTTCTTCCTGAATGAAAGAGGCTGTTTCCTTGTGCTCCATATGTGGAAGTAAACTTACCACACATTTTTCTACTTTGTGCCAGGAAGTATAGAAACTTTAGCTCTGGTTACCATTTGGTTGGGCAGCAACAGCTGTTGTGCTGGAGATTGCAAGATGAAGTTTTCCATCCTGCAAGTTTCGTCCCACATCTGGTATGATTGTCCTTCTTTAACAGAGGGGGTCCAAAGGGTCTCTGCATGATAAACTGGCAGGATAAAGGCTAACTAATGCATGCTTGGTCCTTCTGTATTAGATACTGAAAGATGGCACTGCTTTCTAGAAAGAGTGTTCTTGCTACTGGCAACACTAACCCAGAGTTCTAACTGGTGCTTCATTGATTGCAGAGTTATAAGATAACAATACAATCCAGGTACAGAACCTGGGTTAGCATGTCAAGTACAAAATGTGGACATGTTTTAGGACATGGCATCTTTAGATCCCTGATAATCTCAGCGGAGAGCAAATGAGACGATGGGTGTTGTGTCATCCTATGTTTGCCACAGGACCAAGATCCCTTGAGTGTTCATCCACTAGTATCAGAACCTTGTATCCTCACAGAAGTCATTCAAGGGAGAACCTCTATTACTCATCAAACAGATCCTCATCTTGAAACTAAATGGCAGCAGTGTCTCAGCCTGTGGCCTCAGAAGAACTTACCAAATGTGTTGTCTTTTTGAGTTTGTGATAGTGGTCACAAGTACACAATTTGGAAAGTGCAGCCTCAGCATTAAACATACCCAGATATACTGCACAACTGATTTGTACATTTTTGCCAAGGAAAAGGAATTTGCAAATATGCAAGATACCTGATCACAGAGGTGGAAGCTGGGTCACAAACAGCTTGACAAGCTCACTCACAACAAGCTATAGTCAGTTACACATCAGAGAAAAAGTCCAAAACAAGCTGCTCTCCCCTCGGACACAGTCACACCAACAATAATGAGAGAAACGATGAGGAACATCGGCTAGTAACATAACTATCTTCTAAAGATAGTTAGCCTGCTACTGCCACAGGTAGCAGTAAAACACAATATTGATGTAAACAGGCCACATCAGATTTATGAAAAAAAATTCAACCACTACTGATTTGTGTTAATAAGTGGTCTTTTTTGATAGATATATTTCTATTTAGGAGTCAACTGGATGCACTATTTGCCCATCGCACCTCAGTACCATCCAGTCTCCACTGTTTGAACTCTTTCAGATTTTCTGCCTTCAACAAATGGTAACTGGAAGATCCAAATCCAAGATTCAGAATGCCCTTTGAAAAATCTAGAGGTGACACTACAGACATTTATTTCATCTTTTCTAAAAATTGCGGTTAGAGCTTAATCGCTCACAGGAGACCAAAAAGATATTCTATGACCCTGATAATGAGCTTTCAGAAAAAGGACAAGGAGCACCACATTATTAACACAATGCTTATGCTCAAATTCTACGCTATAAAAACACACTCGTCTGTAGTGCCCCAAGTAATGCATTGTTGAGTCTGAAAATGGCAAAACATTTTCGGGTGACAGACTAACTTAATGTCTATCACTTAGAAAAGCTCGGAGATGCCAAAGGGTGAGAGAAACCAGACAGAGAAGGAGACAGACAGCACAGATTTGGGCTTTCAGGGCCATTTCTTCAACAAACTTGTAACCACAGGCATCGGAGCCATAAAAAATGACAGTTTAATTCCTTTTGCAACTGGAAGAAAGACTCCAAAACATGCTAGAACGCAGACCTTGGAGTTGCCATGGGTGATTTGTGGTGATGTCATCCAGCTAAAATAGCTCCTCATTAGCACCTCTGAAGCAGGTCGTATGATTAATCGTCACCAAAGATTTACAATCCAATTAGAGAGTGTCTGGGTGTGGAACAAATGACTCACCTTTGAGGGAAACACATCAATGAACAGACCCAAATGGGCTTTTTTGGGGCAATTTTTGTGCATCGGGCTGATTGATGCTGAAGTGGATGGACGACGTCTCCAGAATGACAACGTTTTGTCAGCTCCACAGGCAATCACTCAGCATGCTGGCAGACTTGTCATGGAGACATGGCATGTCAGTAGATTCACAGTTTCTGCTTGACATCAAACACTTAGTTGAAGTGATTTTACATTACATTCTGTCAAAGACCAGCAACGAAAAATTGGGTCTAAGTTTGAGCAGACTGGTGAGTGTGCATGCACACATGTGCCTGCGAATGCATTTCCCTGGGAATGACTAATTTAGCAGCGATCAAGTCTCCGCTCTCCAGCCTCGCCTGAAGTTTTAATCCCCACATTTGCATGGCTAAACATAGATCAGCCTCTGCACGTCCGCACTGGATATCAACTCGAGGAATATAAATGCTTGTTTTGACTGCACATTGAAAATGTTGATTAAACATTCATGAGCTCCCTGCTCCTTTGTCTCTGCGGCGGCCTCTCAGACATTACCTGTATATGATACAGTGAGACAGTATATGCACAGGTTCCCAGCTGGAGGGAAACAGATTCAGGGTTTTGTTTTTTATCCGTGTTGGGCCAGGCACCTCTATGTTCCAAGCGATTCAATTCCTTGCAAATGGGCTTTTCCAAGAGCATCTTTGCTGAGTTTAAGGAGAGAGCTCACAGACGCGGAACAGATGCAATAACCGCCGACTCGCTGGCAGATAGAATAGCTTTATCACACACTACTTGCACTGTTGAGTTGAGGGTATCCTATC